CACTAGCACGTGCTTTCACCTCCAGAAGACGTGGCATGCGCACATGGTTGTCCACGGGGGTACGCGTTCTCCCCTTCTTTTACCAAATTTATGGCATGTTACGTACGTGAGTAAATGTTGACAGTGAATTCCAGACACGCACGTAAGATAAGGCGACCAAAGACACCCTATGTTGTTTAACAATGTGCAGAAATTGCGGGGGACTGCGACGCTCCAAACTTGGCTTCCAGGCAATATTTTGAATTTGTGCTTCAGTTTGCACTGTGAAACTTTCTGTTCGTCTTTGTCCAGGAGACAGAGTTGCCGTGAAAGCCATCTCCGTGTGAGGCTTTCTCTGTCTTCACCACAGCCCTGCGATTGTCGGGCAGAGCTCCACCGAGATAATGCGCAGAAGACGTTGGTCCCGAATCTTTCAAGAAAAGTTATCCAATGTTTTTAATCTTTTAAGTGTCTTCCATCTTTGAGCTGCAGGTGGGCAGGCGCTGAGTCCCTGTTCAGACTTGGTTCAGCCTCTCACTGCAGCCACTTCTCCACATCACCACGCCGGTTAATGAGCGGCCTTCGCCGCCGACAAAGTCGTGGGGGCTTCCAAGAACTCGAGGAGGGTGGGGAGGGCGATGCAGGAAAGCCTAGTTATTTTTGCCACGTCCAGCCGTTATTCTCACTGTTGCTAAGTTTTTACAACGTTGAAGAGAAAGCAGTTTTCCCACTTTCTTCTTGGAGCTTCACTGCATTGTTCGTCACTCGGCCATCGATGCTCGTTCCCCAACTACAATGGTGAGTCAACGGCACGGTGCGCTATCTTTATGCTTCTCTAATTAGGGCAGCTGCGCGCCCCGCCCAACAAAACTCCATTTAACGCACCGGCGGCTTTGCCGACCAGCTAGTTGTGACGAAGACCGCGGCGCGGCGCCACCGTCGTGACGCCGTTCTGCGAACGGCCGATTCGAAGAAGCGTCGCGGCCCAGCGGCGGCGCGCTATTTGTGCCCCGGCGTCCCTAGTCCGCCCGTTCGGCTGTCTTTGGCCAAATCGGCGCCACCGCGGCCACGTGCGGAGGCCGGCGGGGTCCTGGCGGCCACCCAGGGGACGTCGTCGCCGCCGGCCGTCACGCCCCGCCCGGCGCGGTCGGTCCTCGCGGCGCCGGAGTCATCGGCCTGCGGCGAAGCCCTCCGCTCGATCCGACGCTGCTGGGTCCGGCGCGGCGGCTGCCGGCGCTGCACTGGGTGCACCGAGGCTGCAGAGTTGACAGGGCTGAAGCTGCCACCGGGCCGTCAGGCAGCGGGCCGCCCGTGCATTCCCGTGACTGAAATAGCGCGCTCGCGGGCCGTTTCCCAGTAGACGCGCCCATCACGGCGAACAGATGCGCCCATCCGGGGACGGTTGGACGAATGGCGGGGCCGCCGGTGGGGAATGCGGCCTCTGGGGCCGCCCGAACTGGCAGGCACACTCTATGCCAAGGTCGGGCCAAAGTCGCAGCGGCCGACTTCGACAGGAACCGCGGCCTGGGCGGGGGGGGGGGGAGCTCTGGGGGCTCTGGGGGCTGGGGGAGTTCAGGAGGGAGGCTAGCGAGTTCGGGCGCAGAATCAAGCATGGACGCAACCTTTGTTAAGATTTTGGATAGGGTTTGAGAGGTTCGAGCTTGCTCCGCGCCACCCCGACGTTTTTGAGCTTTGACATGGCGCCTGGGGCACATCGTACGTAGAAACTCAAAACCCAGTATGACGCTTTCACTTTCAGCATTTTTGAAGGGCATTTTGAAGAGACTTTCACGGCTCGTTGCAAGTAAAGCGGGCATCTCCAAGAGTGTCAAGAAGTTACGGGGTTGGGATGTCCTCGCATAGGTTGATTTCACTTGACTTGGTGTACTTATCACAGCGCCTTTGGTATGATTGTGGTATGATGTGGATTGGTATGATTGTGTTGGTGCATAAAATTTGCACAAAAGCATCAACCTACAGGACATTCCGTATGCCGGTCCAGTGAAGCCCGGGATCAGAAAAACGCATGTCAACTCACCTGCTTTGTCATAAACCATCTCCATATCGCACCGCAGTTTACGTCCTCGGAGGGCTTGCTTTTTCTCGAGATCCAATGCAGCTGGGGTTCCTCAGCCTGACCGGACATTTCGCTACATATTTTGACCCATCCGCATTGGACTTGGAAATCGTGAACAAAAAACGATGTCTGACTTCTGCGAAAGCAGGTAGTCAGCACTCGTCCTTGTTTGTTTCCACATCAAGGAAATTTGTTTGACATCGTATGACCTTGATTGGTCTAAGACGTTACACAGCCATGCAAGAGGCTCGCCAACGCACCCACAAAACCAACGAATTTAGGCCTCAGTAAAACGCAGATGATCCGCTCTGGCCGCGCTTGGCTCACACTCACCAGTTACACTGCATTGCGACCCAGTAAAGGTCGAGTTGACCTCACTGGGTCCAGTTTGTGCCGTTACATTGCTTGCCTGCGCAATGGCGATGTTGCCCTTTTTATCCATCGGCTGTGAATGATATTGACATCTGCCGCCCACCGGTAATTTGCCTGCTATAGGTGACAGTCGTCTATTATTCGTATATATATATATATATATATATATATATATATATATATATATATAACTGCCGGTTTTAAGTTTAATTTACCTCAAGGGCGCTTCTGTTTTGTTTTGCTATCACTCAGTTTGTTACCCGCACGTATGGTCAAGATAATTAACGATGACGAATCTTGAGTTGAGCGAATTTTTAGCTCACTACTGGCCTCAACTTGTACTAATCTAAAGATTCGTCATCTTCACTCATCCTGAAAAATCGCGAAAAAATACACCGGATAACTTACCCACCACATGACGTGCGTGGTGCACTACGGGACAAATTGGATGCACACTTTTGATAATTGGATCTTTCCGAACATTACTTCCTGCAGCACATCAGTTATCTAATGAGCCTCACGTGCGCGCTGCATGTGTCTTGCTGACATGTCGTACCCATGTCATCATCCCCAGTAATGTCCGTGTCAAAACAGATAGCAGATCACGACGCGCCCTAGGTCAGAGGACACCCCCAACGTGTCACAAGAAGCTCGAGGGCAGCATTGAAATGAAAACTATCGTTGACATCCGTTCTTTCTCATTAATCTCGCCGTCAGGCCTCAATGTACCGCTACTTCGATAGACCGCTCTTTGAAGACCGCAATCCGAGCTGCAGCCCCCTTCCCCTCCCTCCCCTCGTTAAAGCCGAACCACAGGGGCGCGCTGCCGTCTGGCACCAGGATGATTTGGCAGCTTTGGGGTTACCTGGCAGCTGCTCTTGGTCGGGGACAGAGAGCCGAGTGGGTGGACAGCGGAGGTCGTGAGAGGCTCGTTGGCTGGGAGGAGCTCGTTTTCGGCGGGGATGGAGGAGAACGAACGTTGGCCGCTGAGCCTCTGAGTGAAGTGAGGTCAGTTGAGGTGAGGTATGTAGGGTGAGGTCAGGTGAGGTGAGGTATGTGGGGTCAGGCCAGGTCAGGCAAAGTATGTGGACGGGGTCAGGTGAGGTGAGATATGTGGGGTGAGGTCAAGTGCGGTGGGGTGTGTGAGGTGGGTCAGGTGAGGTAGGGTATGTGAGGTGAGGTCAGGCGGGGGTAAGTATTTGGGGTGAGGTCAGGCAAGCCTAAGTATGTGAGGTGAGGTCAGGTATGTCGAAGTACGTGGGATGAGGTCAGGCAAAGAAGCCATGTGGAATGAGGTCAGGTGAGGTGAAATGTGTGGGATGAGGTCAGGTGAAGTGAGATGTGTGGGGGTGAGTCTAGTTGAGGTAAAGTATGTGAGGTGAGATCAGCTGAGTGAGGTATGTGGGGTGAGATCAGGCAAGTTAAAGTAGATCGGATGAGGTCAGGTTAGTCGAAGTATGTGGGGTGAGGTCAAGTGAGGAAGCCATGTGGAATGAGGCCCTGGGGGGGAGGTGAGGTATGTCGGGTGAGTTCAGGCGCACCGCCAAGTGTGCTCACCGGTACATTCGTCGAAACGTGGAAGCCACCAGCTGATCAACTGCGTGCCTGTCGGATAGCATGGCGGTGAGTCACACAGAAAGATGCAATGAAATTGTTGCTTCCACTCTTCCCCGCAGGGCGGGAGAATGCTACTGGGTTTCCATGGCGCCCTTGCGATAAAAACCACGCCCCGGTATGTTTTCACATCAGACGTCAGAGAGGGCGTCCAATGCCAATCCGCTCTTTCACCCCGCGTCGCTCTGGCGTGGGGCGCCTCTAAATCAAAGTGAAGGGCTGAGAGCCATAGCCGACGCGCTCTGGCGCCAGTGAGCTAGTTTTCCTGGAATGTTCCCGCTGAACCTTACCGTTAGTTGACATCGTTGGAGGTTTTACGACTGAAAACCCGGCTTCTAAAAAATGCAGCCGGCAGACGCGTTGCCAGAGCCGGAAACCCAACGGTCGCGAAAGCATCGGTCCGGTGCTCCCAGTAATCCCGGGGCTGACAGGTACTGGTCGTCCCTTGCGTGCGTCACTCGCGGCGACCTCTGACCTCATCGATCTTCATTTGGACGAGACGCCATCACGTGACCCGTCCACCCGGGGGCGATCACGTGATCACGCCCCTGTGATGGCGACGCGCGTGCCAGAGACGCGGCGGCCAGCCGGCATGCTTTTGAAAGTGCAAACCGCAAAGTGGGACAGCTCGGCGGGCGGTGACGCTTGGCAGGCCGGCCCGCACAGAATCCGGGCCGCCAGACAGCGGCGCGGCCACCCGTTGCCCCACAGTGACCCACGGCCCAGCCAAGGTCACGTCCCCATTCATTGAAACACGCCAAATGGGCGAAAATCGGACGCCCGCACCGGCCGCCGGACACCCGCCGCCGGCGGCGACGGTCGGCGCGTCGCCATGGCAACGGCGCCCGCGCACGCCGACGTCACGGTCACGTGACACGCCGATCCCCGGAACTGTTTGCGGCGGCCGCTCGCGAGTTGTGAGAACGCTGGCGAAGGCCGCGCAGGCGGGCGGCGGCCATCGCCGCGCGGCAGGCGGCGGCAGTCCGTTGCCGGCCGGCGCGCGAGAGGGTCGTGCACGGTGTGAGTGGTGTTCGGACGCGCGCTCGCGTGCGCTCGCGGGCATGAGAGCCGCACAGGCGGGCGAGACGTGAGTGAGCCGGGGCGCGATGCTGTCGCTGTCTGCGCTTACGGGGTACACCATGGATTTGGGCGGGCGTCGCTCGCCGGCGGAGGAGTGCGGCCGCGCGCCGGGCGGCGGCGGCGGCGGAGGCCCGTGTGCAGCCCAGCTGTACAGCTACGTGTCGGGCGCGCCCGGCTGGGCGGCGACGGGTGAGCGGAACCTCTATGCCGGCGGCTACGTGCTGAGCCGGCCGGCAGAGCCGCTGGACGGCGTGCAGTATCTGTGGAAGAACATCCCGCCGCGGCTGGCGCCGCCGGGCGCCGATGAGGATCTGCTCGACCTCTCTGCGGACTGTGACGACCTCTGGTCGCCGGATGACCTCGAGTGCGACCCTGCGTGCGGCGCGCCACCGCCGCCGGCGGAGACGCCTCCTGCGCCCGAGGCGGCGCGCGTTAGCGTGAGCGTCGGCCCGTGCAGCCGGACGGCGGAGCCGGAGCGGCGGCCGCTGCACCACAGCGGCGGCGGCCTGAGGCGCGCCGAGGCAGATTCGCCGCAGCCGGCGCAGCCCCGCATCGAGATCGACCTGCCGGCGCGGACGTGCGGCGCCGCCTGCTCGGGCCGCATCAAGCTGGAGATCAGCGCGCCGTGCTCGTCCTCGGTCACCGTCAGCGTCAACGGTTGCGGCGCCGGCGAGGCGGCGGCGCCGTGCGGCCCGTGCGCGGCGCCCGCTTCGCCGTGGCCGGCCTCGCCGTCGCGACCCCCGCTGCCGCCCTGCTGCAGCCCGGCGCTGTGGCGGCCGCCGCCGGCCGCCGAGCCCAGCGAGGACGAGATGGCCGTGCTGGCGCGCGCCACCGGCCACCTCAAGGAGAGTGGCTGGTACTACGGCATGCTCAGCTGGTGCGAGGCGCAGGAGCTGCTGCACAACGCGGCGCGCGGCACCTTCCTCGCGCGCGACTCGTTCGACCGGCGCTTCCTCTTCGCGCTGACCGTGCAGACGGCGCAGGGGCCGACCAGTGTGCGCGTGCAGTTCTGCTCCGGGCGCTTTCGGCTGGACGCGCCCGCCACGCTGCTGGCAGGCATGCCCGCCTTCGGGGACGTGAACTCGCTGGTGGAGCACTACGCTCGTCATGGCCACGTGCTGTACGACCAGAAGAGTCGCCCCGTGCTACGCATGCGGCTGGGGCGGCCGCTGCTGCGGCGCGTGCCCAGCCTGCAGCACTGCTGCCGACTGGCGCTGAACGCGTCGGCGGCGGACGGCCGGCCGCCGCCGCCGCTGCCGGACCGACTGCGTAGCTACCTCCAGCAGTATCCGTTCAGTAGATAGCCGTGCCGTTACCGCCAGTTCCTCAGCAGACCAAATATAGCGGTAGATGGGTCGTGCGTTGCGGCCACTTCTCGTGTACTGTGACAATACTGATGATATCCCCTGCATTTTCTATGAGCCTGACAGAGAAATATAATATTTTGTATTATTGTGGTGGACTGACGGCTCGTCTGTGGGGCCGGTGGAGGATCGCGATGGACTGTTCCGCCGGCGTCAAGGACGTGTGCTCGGGGCGGCTGTCAATATCAGAAAGTTCGTCACGCGTTCATCCAGCACGGCGTTCAGTTCCCCTCGCTGGGGTAACCACGCCCCGCTTCTCGTGCCCCCTGAAATCCTGCCCTGGGTGTGCCCCTGCCGTGACCACTAGTCCGGTCACCGAGGCTCCGGTCCGTCCAGCGCCGCCGGCTCGGCCGGCGAGCGCCGTTCCCGGGTAGCCCGCGTGGTCTCTGACCGCGGTCGCCGTTCGCGAAAGGTAGCGGTGCGTTTTTCCCGCCGCCGTCGTGACGGTCCTCCAGGTCGCGGCTTCCGGCAACCGTCTTCTGCGGCGGCGTGACCGTTCGCCGTCTCCGTGGCGGTGGCTGGGTCGGGGGCAGGCGACGCACGCGATGGGGCAGCGGTCGTCCCCTATCGTCCGGCCACCCGCGCCGGCTCGCTGCCCGTTTGAGTGTCGGGTGTCTTGTGTGGGCTGAACCGATTTCACGTTGTCAAGTCAGCGTGACACTTGGCCCTTCCGACCCGATGTCACACGTGTGCGTTCAGCCATCTAGGTGACACGTGTGGGGTCAATCTGACACTGGCGCGCGCCAGATCGACCCCGTGTCAGGTCAACATCACTTTAGTGACCTGTGCCCGTGTGCAGGCGTCCGTTTAGCCGGATTCTCCCAATAAGTGTCAGGCCGGCCGACACCGACATGTGCCGGGCCATCCCATGCTCCTTACACGTGTCACGGCAGCTGTGCCGTCGCGCCAGGCCCACTCTCGTGGGGACTAGCTGGCGGCTGCTTCGCTGGGCCCAGCGAACAAATCGTAACCTGTTAGGACACGGGTGATGCGATCAGCGATGTGTTGAAACGCCGTGCTCGCTGCCCGGCGGCGTGAGGAGAAGGATTTTATGACACCGGTCCTCGCACTGCCGATAAAGGTCAGATTGGCAAGGACACAGCCTCATTCAAATACGACAAGGAAGTGCCCCGTTGTGGCAATAATACCGATGAATAGGCTTTCACCTCACCCCGTACCGCTCCGGTAAGGAGCACTAGCCGCCTTTAAGTATCATTCAAACCTCACGAATCGGCACTGTTCCAAACGCCTTACTTCCTCCCGAAAACAGGTCTTTTTTGATGCACGTGCTGCATATGCTAGTAACCTAGCAAGAGCTGGGTGACCTTGACCAGGAAAGGTCATCAGCCCCGTGGAATTTATCGCCGCATTTCCACTGCTGACAGATCAGTGCAGGACTCTCGCGGCTGACTACACAGGCCCATACGGCTCGTGTCTGCCTGCGGGCGGCGGCGCGTCGTCGAAACAAGCCCGGCTAAGCCGCGCCTCGGATTCGGCAGAGCTGCAGACCAACGGATCACGTCTTCCGCGTAACGTAAGCCTGATAGATCCCCAGCCGGCACGGCCGCCGCCCGCGCGTTCCCCTGCTGACGCCTGCGCGTTCTCCGTCTGACGCCTGCGCGTTCCTCTGCTGACGCCCGCGCCTTCCCCGGCCGTTGATCGCGGCTTCCCCGGCCGCCACCCGGGCGTTCCCCGTCCTCTGCCCGCGCGTTCCCCGGCCGCCGCCTACGCGTTCCTCTGCTGACGCCCGCGCGTTCCCCGGGTGACGCCCGCGCGTTCCTCTGCTGACGCCCGCGCCTTCCCCGGCCGTTGATCGCGGTTTCCCCGGCTGACGTCCGCGCGTTCCCCGGCCGCCACCCGGGTGTTCCCCGTCCTCCGCCCGCGCCTTCCCGGCCGCCGCCCGCGCCCTCCTCGAGGCTGCCCGCGCCTTCCCGGGCCGCAGACTTCACCCTCCCCGGCTGGTGCCCGCGCCTTTCCCAGTCGCCGCCCGCACCCTCCCCGGCCGCCTCCCGCGCCTTCCCCGCCCGTCCCCTTGCGGACGGTCGCCGCGCTCGAAGCGCGACGCTGGTGAAAGCGTCCGAGTGTGTATGTCGCCACCACAGCCTCGGCCGGGACAGGCGCACCCGCCACATCGGCGAGCGCAGGGTCCTGACGGGGCCTGACGCCGGCGCAGAATCGGCACGCAGTCCGGGCGCTCACTGCCTGACAGGGGAACGCGGGAGGCTCCGCTTCGCTCCACAGCTGTAACATCTGCCGGCACAGCGGCGTCGGGCCGAAAACCAGGCCATTCAGCGGTGTCAGGGCAGACATCAGGCCACGCAAAGCCGTGTCAGGGCGAAAAGCCGAATGCGAATGCGTGACACCATCGCGAGCGTGCACACGCCACATGGCGGATATCGCAAGCTTTCAACCCTGACATCCGGTCACAGGAGGGCTTAAATTATATATGATATTGGAGTTTAAATCAAAATAAGTTACGATTACATAATCTACGCAGCGTTGTGAGGGGCGAAAGTCCATCACGAATGCGTGGCGCAGATGTCCGCGAGCTGGCGGCTGTTTTGGCGCAGACACACGGCCTCACACGCAGCTGATCGAAAGCGAGGAACCAGCCGCGCTGCGCTGACACGACCGATACCGAACGAGCGCCGCCCCATCGAGGCCTGCCTGGAAGAGGAGGGTCTCAAGACGCGCCGAGCCGTGAAGCGACGTGGTTCTTGGGGCTCGTGCGTCGTCGCGCTTCGGCGGAGCCGATGTCCGCAGCGACTCGCGGGGGCGGCGATTACGACGCAAGACCAAGTGCAACTTCATATTGATGCGTAGAAGAAAGTTATGAGCGAATTCCGAAATATACTCCGGTGTTTTCCTTTGAGGCCGTTCCGAACACCGTCGGTTACAAGTAAAGTTCGGTCAGCGGGAGATGGGCTGGACGTGCTTCCGCCTGTTGCCCTGACATCGTCTAGCACTCATCAAGTAGCATTGTACAAGCAAGCGAGATATAAACAATCTGACATAAAGCACGGCAGGCCCGCACGCCTTCTGCGACGTGAGCGACGCAGAAGGCCTGAGCGCCGGCACCCTTGGCACCCTTCCCTCCTCTTTCGCCGCCGCTGCGCCGACTGGGCCTGACCTGCGCACTTTCTCCGTCGGTCGGCGCGTCCGACTGCAGCGGAGGTGGTGGCGGTACAAAAAGGCGGCCGAGATGCAAATAATACAAGACCTGGCGCCAGCCGGCACCGGGGCTGGCCCACCAACGTCGGCGGGAATAAAAACCGCCAATGTTTGGCTGGAGTGGTACGAGCGCTTGCAGTGTCGTCTATCAGAACGTACTAAACGCAGGTCAGCACCGCGTGGTGCTGGCAATTCAACGGAATCAGTCGCTCGGGCTCCGTTCCAATATCGCCGGTAATGATTCGAGGCGTCAGCGCTCACCCGACACAGAGGCGTCATCACTCACCGCTAGGCACAGAGGCGTTACCAGTCGCTGCCAGACACAGAGGTGTCAGCACTCATCTTCCGACACAGAGGTGTTACCACTCACCGCTAGGCACAGAAGGTGTCATCACTTACCGTCCGACACCGAGGCGTTACCATTCACCTGCTAGACACAGAGGTGTCAGCACTCATCTTCCGACACAGAGGTGTTACCACTCACCGCTAGACACAGAGGTGTCAGCACTTACCGTCCGACATCGAGGCGTTACCATCCACCGCTAGACACAGGTGTCCGCGCCTGCCGCCCGACATAGAGGCGTCATCACTCACCGTCCGACTCAGAGACATCAGCACCCACCGCCCACTACAGAAGCGTCCGCTCTCACCGCCCGACAGGCGTTGCCACTCACTACTAGACACAGGGGCGTTGCCACTGACTGCTAGACACGGAAGCGTCATCACGCATCGCCCGACACAGAGATGTTAGACACAGAGTTGCTAGCACTCATCGTCCGACACAGAGGCGTCGTCACCTACCGCCCGACACAGAGGCGTCATCACCTACTGCCCGACACAGAGGCGTCAGCACCCGCCACCCAATACATAAGCGTCCGCTCGCACAGCCAGACACAGAGGCACCATCACACACCGTCTGACACAGAGGCGCCCGCTCTCACCGCCAGACACAGAAGCGTCATCACTCACTGTCCGCACCAGAGACGCCAATGACGTCCGCGCCAGAGACGCAACTTTTTCCAAAATGTCGGGTCATGGCCCGGCCCGCCGCGGTCGTGCGGGGATCCAGCCCGCAAAAGACCAGTGCGTTGAGAAGCTAACACAGCATTAACCCGCAAGCACCAAGTTGATTGTAACCTGTACTTTGTCATCTCTCCTTAATTTCAGACATATGCATAGTGCATCAAATTTCTTTTCCGTGTCATCCAATGCTCAACATTGTTTGGCTGTCACCATTGATGTTGCTTGGACAGCACTGATCAAAGTGCCTGGACTGTGAAGTTCTTATCGTATCAAAGCAGAGGTTAAGCACTATGATGACAGTTTCCAACCACAAATGAGAAGGAAAAGGGTCGTATTTGTAATGGCAATATGCATCAAATATTGCACTAATCTCAGTAAACAACAGACCACGGCTTTTAGAATTGCACGCATTGACTGATGGATTTGCGATGTCGAAGGAAAGCATTCTGGATGTTTCAAGTCATGGAAGCCTTCTCAATTCACGGCACTGTACATAGGCACAAACACCATTCGAATCCGTCACGATAGCCGCAATGTAATAACCCGTATTCAAGAGCCAAACAGAGGATCTCATGTGGTGTTTGCTGTCCTTAAGCGGATATATCATGCCAGAACACGGAATCAATACCACATGACAGCTTTTAAATGATCCACATTTCGTCTTACGACTGTCCGCGTTCCATTCCACAAAAACTGCCGCTCCGTTTGCGATACTGCTTTCAAGCAAGAACAGCGATAGCATTTTGTCCAAGAATCTTTGCCACTCAAATGACATTTAAATTTGCCACTGCCACAAAAAACGGGAGATATTTCTGAATGCTGCAGGCAACTTTCTACAACATGAAAAATGATAACATAATATCCAGCAACTCTGTACGCATGTCACGGAACCTGCT